GTGGTGGTAGTGGTGGTGATGGTGGTGGTAGTAGTGGGAGTGGGGTCCAAGAGCAAGAGTCGAGACCAGCCAGACGGGAAGTTTGGAACCAACACAACGAATGGTAACGCTTGTGCTTCGAGTTGTTGATTTTATCCAGGCCTTTAGCGGCTCAAAGGGTACCTATTAACGTAGTGACCGAAGTAATAGGGATCTCAGCGCTTATATCCTCAATGTCATCGTAGTCACGAGAATCACAATGAGAGTAGCAGCAATGCCGCGTGCAATCATGGAGCAGGCTACTGCCGATCTTGACGAAAGCCGCAAGCGCGATCATGTGTAAGAGTCTAATTTGTCTCAAGGAAACTAGCGATGGAAAAGGACCCAGCGCCTGCAAAAATAGAAACGAACAGCAACAAGTTTATCCAACACTAGCCACCCAAAAACAACTGCGCGAAAAAAGGTCTGCAACCGACTAAACCCTCAACCCACGACTGCTCAAAATTTCTGTGAAGAGCACACGCATGACGATTTCACTTTTAAGAACCTATATAGTAGACTCCTTAGTAACTTAGTAGACTGTAAGGCTCCTATATTATTAATCATTCTGATGAGTTGGGAAGTATCCCCCATAACAGCACCCAGGACCCTCTGGTACTTAGGAACCCTTAAAACCCTAAAGGGACCCTTAAAGGAACTCATAGTAGGTACCTGGCTAGGGCCCTAGTCTTTGGGGCTGAGTAAGTACTCTAGCCCCCAAAAAGGTTAACCTTTGCAATTATGGTAGGACTAAATACACCCCCCCCTAAACTCTAAACCCCTAAACCTACTCAGCTACCCAAAAGATTAAAGGCTACCTATTCGGCTAATTCAGCTATTGCAGTGACATACCGGACCTTAGGAACCTTTAAAGGAAGCCTAAAGCCTGAAAGGAACCCTTAAAGGAACCCATAGGACCCTTAGGGACTATTGCGGTGATGGCCACCGATTCGCACCATAGGTGGCCGGGTCTGACCTCGACTTCGTTTTACACGAAATGAGTGACTAGAACTTAGAGTGTAGGGGCTTGGGGTTTTGGGGTTTGGGGTTTTGGGGTTTGGGTGTTTGGTTTAGGGCGTAGGGGTTTAGGGTTCAGGGTTTAGGGGTTCAGGGTCTAAGGGTTTAGGCGCTTAGGGTTGCAATGAGGCACTGCCACTTCGGGTAAGCATGCTTGGTTTGAGGTTGAGGGTAGAGCTGAGGGTCTAGGCTTTACAAACAGTATTTTATGTACGGATCGAAGTCGTTGATGTCCTGATTGGATTAATTTCCTGCACCCTGAACTCCAAACACTCTAAACCCTAAGCCCGGACGTGGGATTAAACCCTAAACCCTAAACCCTAAACCCTAAATGCTGGAAGCCGAGACACCCCCAAAGCTCTCAGGATCCATCTATTGAGGACTATGCGTTAACTGCGATAGGATTCCGAATTATGGTAGGCATCCTGTTATGCATGCTTCGACTATGGTAGGATCCTCTACCAAGAATATAAGTTAAGTCATGGCAAAGTCCCGATTATGATACCATAGAGATCCTTAAACTAGGGTAGGGTCCCTACCATGGATGTTGAGGAGTACTCCTTAATTACAGAGTCTTCCTTAATTTTTCACAGGGCTCCGTAGTATGATTCAAGGGTTTAACGCCGAACCCGGAAGCCGTGCCCAAGGTCCCCAGTGCCAGATGAGCTACGCAAGAAAGGGTGATAAGACCGGGCACAGGCTGTGGAGAAGGAGAGTGCTTGTCATGGGCCCAAGTGACATTCACTTCAACTTCTAGGATTAAGGAGTTTGGCGTGGGTTCACAACACACCAACCATCCCTCGTAATCTAAACGATCTGGTGCCCAAGATGCGGCATTCGCTGGAGGTGGTGGCTCAACCACTTCTTCCTCAGCGTTGGCCTGCTTTCAAGGCCACCAAACGGTCTACTGGATCCCCAGATTCTCGACAGGGTAGGCACGAGACTAGGGACATGTGTAGGGTTGCGAGCATATTGGAGCCACGAAGTTTTGCGTAGTGTTGAAGGGATTGGAGGGATGGCTGCACAGATTCAAAAACACCAGCACCAACACCAAAACCCCTCCTAAACCCCAAAATCCCAAACCCGTATATTAAAAAAAGTACATGAATGAATCCTAAACCCCAAAACCTTAAATCCTAAACCCTAGACTTACCCATGTTGCACTGCTACACAATCTCTATATATGTATGTATGTATGTATGCATGCATGCATGCACATGCATGCATGCATGCATGTATGTATGTATGTATCTGTGTATGCATGTATGTATGTATGAATGTATGCATGTAGGGATGTATGAGTGAATGAATGAATGTATGTATGTATGTATGTATGTATGTATGTATGTGCATATGTATATGTACATAAGCATGCATAGTATTATGTTACCTATTTGTTTTTTGTATCTATTGAGTACTGTTGCAAGGTTCGGGTTCAGGGTAGCTAGAGGGCCTTTAGTTCTGGTATAGATGTTTAGGGACTTTATCGGCATGATAGAAAAATCAAAAATTAATTGCTCAGACCTCTATTGTCTCAGAGCTCAGAGGAGCTGAGATATCTGAACCTAAGGGCGTTCTGCCTTGTGTTCTGTTCCTCCTTTCTAGGCTCGGAGCTGAATGGTGCCTCTATAGCACCAGGCTCGGAAGATCAGCGTGCCGGTAGGACTTCAACCGAAGTCTAGGTTTAGGCTTTCGGGATTACGGTGTAGGGTTTAGGGTTTATGGATGTTTAAGGTTCAGGGTTGAGGGTTTAGGTGGATGTTTAGGGATGGGTTTAGGTTTAGGGCTTTGGATACCCATAAACTAAGTGCAGAGGCTTTATCTTAAACTTCTTCTGGGCTTCGATGTTGAAGAAAGCCTCGAGACTGCATCCGGATTTTCGTCCCTTGTTGTAAGGCTGTCCTGGGAATTAGAATCGAAAGTCCTGGCTGTTGGGTCTGGGGTTAATGGCTTCAGGCTCCGCGGGCCTAGCGTTCAGACTGCAGAATTTGCCTAGGGGCCTTAATCATTAGGGGGTACATTATACTACAATTATAATAAGGAGCCCCAAAAATATTGTTGGTAATTATTTCGGCCTCTATATTACCGGGCCAGTCTAGCTAGGGTATTATTTCAGGGCTAAGCGTGCGTTTTTGGGCTGGCGTCTGGCCGTAACATTAGTCACTCAGGCAGACAAGGAGCAAGTCCTAAATCCCAGGAACCTCGACCCAAACCCTAAACATCCCTGTTCCGATGTGCTCAAAACATCACGGCACTCGAAACACCTTCCACGAGTTCACTTGTTTGGGCCCTCTCACCCTCTCACCCTAAACCCTAAACCCCAAACCCTATAAAGATCACAATCTCCAAAATCAGTCCCGAACAGGAAAACGGAAAGCCAGCCTCCATTGAGACCATTTTTCGGGGCGTGTCGTCGGCTTCGCTCATGGCTTCGACGTAGCGGCTATACCCAAGCCACAAACCCTGTCGACCTTCGACCAACTCTATACAAAACCAAGACTGGCAGAGGCTTCTTAAGTTGGGGATGTATAGGGTCCAAACCCTAAACCCCAAACCTGAAACCCTCAATCCTGCATCCTAAACCCAAGCCACAAATCCTACGCAAAAGTGCCTCTTGAGCTTTCGAAGCGCGTTTTGACGGAGCCCAGGATGAGACATCGCAGCAAGACCCCGAGCAAAAACAAATGCACCATCCCAGCAGGTCACCAAAACGAACGAAAGTTCCTGGACCCCCCAACTACCCTCTATTATACCCCAAATACCTACTATTAGGGACCATAAGCTCTCCATTAAAGCGCCATTGGGGGGTCTGGTTGGGAGCTTGAATTCAGATAGGGTTTGGGGCTTGTGCTATAGTTGCAGTAAGGGCCAGCCCGAGCTCTAAACGCACCCAAGCCCAACATAACCCAAATGAATTCAATCTATCCACATAACAAATATATATATATATATATATATATATATATACATATATATACATATATATATATATAAACCCTAGGGTTTAGGGTTCATACAGAGTACGATTCTTTTCCTGCTCGAGTTTGGACTCTCAAGCCGTCTCGCCACTAGCCTCCCGAACGGGAGTCGGTTCGACGAAATTCGAGAGGGACACGGATAAGGGCAACAAGGCATCAGCCACAAGCCCAAACACTGCAATCTGCAGGCAAACCCTCAAGTCCAACCCGGTGTCTCTGCTACGACACACCTTGTTAATCTTTAGGGACTCCAGGGTTTTAGGGCTTTAGGGACTCTAGGGTTTAGGGCTTTAGGGACTCTAGGGTTTAGGGCTTTAGGGACACTAGGGTTTAGGGTCGGGGCTGGCGGAGATACATCTCAAAGTAGGTCCAATACACCTCCGAAACTGTGTGTCCCCGAGCGTCCAATCATAACTCCGTAAATAAGGTTTTGGAGTTTTGGGCTTAGGAGTTAGGGGTGGTTCCCAATTGGTTTTCCCCTGGTTTAGGGTTTAGGGTTTAGGGGTTGAGGGCTCTAGGGCTCTAGGCTTTGGGGTTCAAGGTTTTAGTGTGTTGGAGACTGATGTCTGCTCTGGCTTACAAAGCTTCCATGTCTTGTGACAGGCGCCTGATACTGAGTATCTACGTAGGGGCCTACAAAACGGTTTGTGTTTAGGGAATAACTGCCAAACTATTTCGGGGGCTCTTTAAATTTATTCAACAGTATAATGGGCCCCAAAACCCTATTCTAGTTACCAAGGCCCGTATATTAGCACTGCGGCAAACAACTCCGGGTGTGAAACGGTCGCGTGCGAGAAGGATTCGTGGCTCGCAGTCAGAAGGATCTCTTGAATCCGCAAGCCCAAGCGGCTGCAACATGCTGCCGGTTTGGGGTTCAACGTTTGACACATGAGGCCATAATTAGAGTAGGGTTTTGAAGTTTGGGGTAGACTAGTGACTCGACGACTCGACTATAATAGTAGTAAGGAATATTAGCCTCCTACATGTATGTCCAATGTCGGTATTCATCCCCTGTGGCTCGGGCGATTTGTTGATGCAGTACCGTGCCTCCAGCATGAAACCTACTGCTTCAGGAGACGTCTCTGTATGTGCAGCATTCCAGCTCCCTAATCTGTTGTCTTAACGATCCTGCCGCATGTCCTGGCCCCTAAACCCTAAACTCGATATAAGCCCCAAAACCCAGCGAGCGATGGCAGAGGGACTTTCAGATTGCCTTCAGATGGCTCTGCTAGCCTCCTCCTCGTCCTTTGGCTCGTCAGCCTCCGCCGGTTTAGGGCTTTAGGGCTGAATATAGGGGCCGCAATCATTATAATAGTGGTTCTGGGGGGCCATTCTTATACTATAGTGATGATAAGGAACCCCAAAATAGTCGAGGTAATTATTAAGGCCCCTATATTTTGGTTTAGGCTTCGAAGGTGTAGGTTTCAAGGCCCCAGTCTCCGATATCTCTTGGCCCGACAAGATCTGGGCAAGATACACTGCTAATGTAGGGGCCTTCATAACTACATTTCCAGTTGGGGGGGGGTTTATAGAAAAACATGACTATGATAGCTAAATCGAAAGGGCTGCGGCTCCGGTATTACTCTTATCGCCAATGCTGCTGTCTTTGCCGCCGTCAGTATGCTGCCTGTACTGTCGCTGCTGCCTCTGCTGCTGCTGCTGACGATGAGAATGGCATTGGAGTAAGTACGTCACTAGAACGACGATCTCGATGATGATGATGAGCCGCGACGATGGCTAAGAAAAGTCATGATGGTGCGGAAGATGAAAGGACCGATATTGTTGGGAATCAAGTGAGCGGCACAGAAAACGAACAGCCAGACGGAACGGACGACGACGCTCAGGAGATAGGTGTTTCCAAAAATAGGGGACCCTAATATAGTACCCTATAGAATAGGATCCTTATTATAAGGACCCCAAAATAGGGTACCCTAAAAATCGGAAACTCCCCTAAACCCTAAACCCTAAACCCTAAACCCTAAACCCTAAACCCTGGAGATGATGAGGGCCGAGGTCCCGGGTATCGGAGATGATGGTGAGGAAGACGAGGGAGCATAAGGACGATGGGCCTCGTCTCAATCCTGTCGCTTTAAGGTTTAGGGCTTAGGGTTTAGGGTTTAGGGATTAGGGTTTAGGGTTTAGGGTTTAGGGTTTAGGGCACAAAAGTCTCCAGAAAAACAGTGGGTGACTGCGTTGTTTAAGATCTGGGGCTGGTACGGCTTCGGACTTACCCTAATCCCTTTGAAGCTCATATACAACAAGAACAGAGGAGCCTTTTCGACCTTTGCTGGCTGCGCACCTTCGGCAGCCTCAGCTGTCGCGTTTCGGTGGCTATGCAGAGTCTTAGGGCTAAGTGTTCCGAGTTGAGGGAGTTTAGGGTTGCAGGATTTAGGGGTTTTAGGTTGTAAAAGTGGGCTTGGCTATGGACCGCAACCATTAAACTGCTCGCACTACGACCATCACCGTCACCGTCATCATCAAAATCATCATCAACATCCTCATCATCCACATATTCATCCTCATCTTCATCCTCATCACCATCATCGTCATCTTCTTCTTCATCAAACAACCAGCAACATCAAAATCGAGTCTTTCTTCCGCTGCTTCAACACGAGCACTTAGCTCCTCACCATGACTGCTTGCAACATCACCTTGCTCTCATTCTGTTACCCTGAGGGTTGAAGCCTTGGCACTCCTTATTGAAGGACTTCCCTTGCTCTCATTCTGCTACCCTGAGGATTCAAGCACTCCTTATTGAAGGACTTCTGTTTTGACTACCAGAGCCAACAACTCAAGACTACTTAGATCCGTGGGGCCTTGATATTCTGAGGCTGGCAAGAGGCTGATTCCATCGTCGCCATCTCCATGGAGCCTATGGGAGATCCCGTAAGAGCAGCCAGCCTTTGTCGCACAGGCATGAACCGCTAGAGTAGCTCAGATGCTTCCACAGCTGACTACTACATACTCCTATGTACCTAGGTCGACCTATCTATATATCTATCTATCTATCTATCTATCTATCTATCTACACTCTACAATGCGTGTATGTATATATGTATGTATGCATGTACGTATGTGAATGTATGTGTATGTATGTAAGTACGTCAGCAAGTGTGCAGGCAAGTAAGGAGGCAGGTAGGCAGGCAGGCAGGCAGGCAGGCAGGCAGGCAGGCAGGCAGGCAGGTCTGTACAATAACACATTCCAATGCAAATCTGTATTTTTACCAATGTATGTATATAGAACTGTATGTATGTATGTATGTATGT